CGCAATTTTGAGAGATTTTTGCGTCCTATGCCATTACCCGTGTTTTGTTGTTTTCAATACACGCGAAACGCTCCAGCCCCCTCTTAGGATATTGTTGATGAAAATGGCTACGCTGCTCTGCCGTAATGAAGGAGCACCGGAAAAGCGCCCCCACAACCAGCGAAAAAAAATAAAGAAATGCGATGAGATTGTGATTTTGTCGAGGGCGCCTTCCTTCAAGGCGCCTCTTCTCACCAGCCTCCAGAATGACAATGGGACGCGAAACGGTGGCCTGGGGTGGGAGAGGGGGGGGGGAGGGCGTCTGGGGAGGAAGGAGCGCGCAAGGAGGGGGAAAAAAATCTAATTTCAGGATTTACCTGGATTCCACGCGCTCGCAAGGTAGCCCAACCGCAGGCTGGTGCCGAGGGAGACGGGGCTGGGACACAATTTACAGAGCCATCGGGGCGAAGGAAAGGGTGGCTCGGAGAGGGGGATGACCGAGGAGAGGCGGAGAGGGGGCGCTCCCAGGGTTCATGGCAGGGAGGGGCAGGGAGGCGGGGATTTGCGTAAGAGAAGAGGAAGGAGAGCGGCCGGCTTTGCGCAGTCTGCGAGTGGGTCGACAACAGCGACACGCCTCTTGAGGGAGAAGAGTGCGAGTGAGGGGCGGAAGAGGAGGGGCGAGAGAGAGAAAGAGAGACGGGGTCGCACGCTCTACCGGCGCGGCGCGGGAGCGGACGGGTTGCCTGCCCACGCGGCGCTGAGCGACCAGGCGCTTGTTCGGCCGACAACACTACTACTTAATTGCGACTAGTTTGCGAGCGGGCTGCCACTGCCTCCACTACACTGCAGGGCGCGGCCGCCGCGCTGCCTGTGTGTCTGCTGGCCTTGGACTTGGCGGTCCCGTGCGGCCCGGTGCCCTCGGCCAGCGCTCACCTTGCAGTAACAGATCTGGCACCGGGGCTAACGACTAACTTCGCCCGTCCCGCCTGCTGGGCCTTTTACCCGAGCGCATTCAGATCTAAACTGAGATGCTAATTGTGTTGTCGAGTAGGGCCCAGGCCCAGGGCCCCGGGACTGCCACGCTCGGGGCGTGGGCAAGGCGAGGATATCAAGGAAAGGAACGCCCGCGCTGTTTCCCTCTGCTCGCCCGTTTCCTTCCTTGTTTCTGACCCTGTTTTCTTTCGCATCAACAATAATTCTTCTCCCCCGACGTGCGGGGCGGATCCATCGTGTGTCAGCCTAGCGCCCCACGGGGCGGCCCCCAGGCCCTCACCCCGTCAGGCAGAGACGTAACGTGTCGCTCCGACTGCTTCGCATTGCTCTATTCGCACGGCCCGTCACGGTCTGACCTGCCGATAGCGACGCCGAGTTGATATTGGCAGCGAGGTCGTAGCGGCGTAGGGTCGGGGCGGCTGCAGCGAAACGCTACTACCGGACGGCACCGGAGAGGACAAGGGGAACGGCCAAAGACAAACACGCAGGCAATCTGGGCGAGCGGGCCCGTGCGCCCCCTCTGAAACAGGCCGACACGGTACCTCTTTCGATACCCACTCACCCCCGGGAGGGGGGGGGGGCACAGCGCGGGGTCGCGCCGGTGCTGGGGTTGCTGAGCGCGGGGTACTGACGTGAAGAGGGCGGCAGCCCGCAGACTCGCAATCAGCGCCTCTTTCTCTTTTCATCTTGATATGTAGATTTGAGGTCGCG